GTTCTTAATTCGGTTGTATTTTTTTTTATGTTTGTTACCTCAAAACTCCCTCATTTAATTATTGATTTTACCAATGGGTTCGGTTTGGTGGCCACGTGTTCCCATATTAATTTCATTGTGGTAGGGCCACGCAACAGTCCTCGCTGTTGCATGAACGGGCAGGCCCGTCCGGGGTAGTACCAGGACCGAACAGAAGACTGGCGCGAAGTAGAAATATTATTCATCTATCTGCGTTTCATTTGATGAGTGGGGTAGCCGGGGCTTCCTACTTTATTCAAAGGTACGCCTTTTATACGCATCTCCAAGTCTACGGGTTTAGCAAATGTTAAGGGGCGATTGCCACATTCTTAAATAAAAAAAACTTTGACTCTGAACTGTTAGTGAGTGAGACATTTGGAGGTGGTTTTGTTTTTAGTCACAAAAAATGTACTTCTGTTAATATATTAGTACCTGGAGGACCGCTTTTTGGTAAATCGTGTATTTTGGAAAATAAAAAAAATAAAAAATAAAGAAAGCAATAATCTGAAAAAAAAAAAAAGTAAAAAAAATAAGTGTGTAAATGATCGTGACACGAACCGCGGCCTTCTGTTTCGGGGCCGCCCGATTACCGTCCGAGCTACATTTGTTTTTTCAGCGAAATTTACCGTCATATTAGAATGATATTTGTCATTCCCTGAAAACAGGGATAAAAGTACATTTTCTAAAAATGATATATACAGGGAGATTTTTTGAGAAGTGCCCAAATTTACACAGGTGGTTCAGATTCGGTAAGTAGAATCGTTTATTGAAATAAAAAATAAAGTTATTTTCCAAAAAAAAAAAAAATGCCATTCTATTCCCTAAAAAACAGAACGTGTTGACAATGCGGTAGTCATTCATAAATACCTAAATTTTAGTGTGCACAATTTTTTTTTCTTTTTTTGGGCTGGATGAGCCACTGTGGGCCTTTACAGTTCCGACGGACTTGAGGTGGCCTGGCGCACGGGGCGCCTAGCCTGAACCTCGGCGTGGACGATCTTGTGTGCGGGTTAGTTATAAATGATCGCGCGTAAAATAAATGAGTTGCGTACATATAAATGACGCACTTTTTGAGATAAGTTCAAATGAATTGATTAATTATTTACGAGTGATTTTAAATATTTATCATTTTTTATATAACATTATTTATGTCCTAGAGTTTAATAAATGGATACACTTAGAAAAGCCACCCTGTATATATATCTGTATATATATATATATAGTACTCTTTACAAACTATAATAAAACCTAGCTAGATCGATTTTAAGCCCCCGAATCTACTCACATACTAAATTTCATAAAAACCGCTGGAGGAAACCGTATAAAGGTTTTTTAGATAACCGGTGCACATATACCGCTTGACCAGAGTCTATTAAACCTGAACAATTAAGCTCTTTTCCCGATGGAACTTTGCATAGATGGATTTAAAGCGCAATCATCTATCATCTAAAGACGAAGAAGTCGCTGCTGATTTTCGGATATGCTAGAGCCATACCTTAGACGGATAAAATTCGTAATCGTAGTAGATTAAAGATGGATACGCCCAGTGAAAAAATATTGAATAAGTTTTATGGTTAAGGATCAGTATTGATGTATGGTGTCATTTGCGTATGTGTATTCGGGACACGTATAAAGTACGACATTACGGTAACCGAGTCCATTATTGCGGTACGATATGTCACGGACATCTTGAAAAGGTAGCAATGCCATTATTCCTATATGTATAAAAACAATTTCGTTTTAATTACTTATTTCAAAATCCTGTTCAAGCTTCAGAAAAGACAAAGGTTTTTATCTTTTTAACTTGGTTTTGCCCCTAATTAATACCATAAATCCATATCAGAGACGACCGTTTTAAAAGTTTTTATACATTACTTTTGTTTGATAAGTACCGCTGCATTTACATTGTTTGACTTAAAATATGTACCATTTACTAGTAAATTCCTTTAAAAGGTTTAGTGGCGTTTAAATGCAGTAATAATAGTTTAATCTCTATCTGTTGTCATATCGAAATTTAAATGACTGTTATTATGAAAACATTATGGATTTGGTGCTTGTAATTAGAAGATACCAATTAAATTAAACAATTATTGTTTATACATATTTTATTGTTTATAAATATGTATCTCGTTTTCCTACAACCTTGCCCTTACTATCCCACCAGTAGAGAAACAATTATCTATGGGTCACTTTGGGCCCATTTGTTTGGTATGGGAATCCAACCCGCGAAACCGATCGCCAAAGCCTGTGTTTTTGCCAGATCAATTTTTTTTTATAAAAGCAAGGAACACTCAGGTAATCATTCTTGGTACAGTTAATTGGTTATTTGGTTTGATAGGTTAAACCAGTACCAGTTAACTTATAATTATACGTACTGTACTAAGAATAATTATGTACTACATAATTATTCTTAGTACAGCTAAAATGGTTGCTTAATATAGTCATATTTATCCTTAGTATTTGTCATTTGACATCTTTGCGATATTAATTTAACAATGTAACGTCTCATTTCACCATAGATTATTTCCCCACATGTGTCGTCAATCGTCATTTGATATAAATTGATACAAGTTTTGAATATGGAACATCGATATCTTGCAAACAACTCTCCTAGCGCAAATCCCTCATTTTACAATACAAGTAAAATTCTTGTTAATGTTCCGCCGTTGTGTTTTCGGTTATTCGAATGATAATCTTAAAATGAATTTCGTAATGCGTTTAATAAGTGTGCTGATGGCACGTATTTTGTCCAGCGGACTTTTACAAATGAACCAATTTATATCAGTTTCGCGTAAATTGCATCTACTTAGTTATCGTAAGAACATAATTGGAATGTTTATGGTTCTTGTACGTGTAATCTACATCTTTATTATACCCAGAATATAATTGAAGTGTATGTTTGTGAATGAATTGTTTTGTTTTGTTTGTAAATGAATGAATACTAAAATTAAGTTAGACCCATTTATAGGAAGCCTTTTCATGAAATCTTATATATAAAAATGGATTGCTGTTCGTAAAGGCCCATTTACACGGTGCAAGTTTCTTGCCTGTTATATACAATTAAATTGAAGCAATAAATGAGTTGCATTGTCTAAACAACACATAACATTCTTGACTGTTGAACAAGACTTGCTTCAAGTTTTGTTTCAAAACTTTCCTTGGTGTAAACAGCACACACAATAATTTCTTAAGCAATTCTTGTATTCAATTGCATTCTCTTTTCCTTTGTGAAAAATTAAAAAAAATAGTGCAATGAGTGAGGGTATTTAATCGTGGCTGTTCTTTTGAGGATAGAAATATTGAGAAAAGGTCGTAAAAAAAGTTCGATAAAAATATGAATAATAATATATGGATCATAATAAATAAATCTCAATGAAATATATTTAATCGGCATAATCTAACTTGAACATTTATTATTGAGCCATTTTTAAAAAAAAAACAGCCCTTTGTAAAACGTTCAACACTTGCATGAAAAATTTGTCAACGCAAATACGTGCAATACTTGAAGCAACACGCCAATAAATTGTACACGCACATACAAGCATGTGTTTAGACAAGTCAAAACTTGAAAGCAATAATCGCCTAAACATAATTGCATTGGTGTAAACAAAAGACATTTGCAATTATTTCTTGTCAAAACTTGCATACAATAATCGCATTCAATTTTTTTTACTATATCTGCATGTAAACTGTTGCTTACAATTCTTGATGGTCAATTATTGCGCGCAATTTATTGCATTCAGTTATTGCTCTTGTATGTACAAGAAAATGGCATCGTGTAAATGGGCCTTTAGTCTCGCTAAAACTCGAGAACGCCTGGACCGATTTGGCTAATTTTGGTTTTGAAATATTTGTGGCAGTCCAGGGAAGGTTTAAACGATGAGAAATTATGGAAAAATTGCATGGAAAATCGAAATAGCAACGATTTTATTTTGCCATACAAACTGTTCCACCTGTCAAACATGTTATGGGTGCGTAACGAAAATTCTTTTTCAATAAATTATTTATATGGTAAAACAACGTTTGCCGAGTCAGCTAGTAAACTATAAAAACCGTTAGTATAGATTAGACATTACAATCTTTGTCTGCCCGTTTAACACCATAGAAAATTTTGAGGTTTGTAATAAAAAATAAGTAAAATTAACATGCATGTTACATTTCGATATCCTGCATAGCGAAGAAGTTAAAATTTGACGCATACGTTTTCATTTTATTTCCCTTCCGAGTGCGTATAATCGTAAAAAGAAATATTAAATGTTTTATTTAAATCAATACTTTTCATACACATGCACGCACACGCACAAGTGTAGCACTCACACACGCGCACATGCACACACATACGCACACGAAAACGCGTGCTCACGCACAGGCGCATATTTAATTATTGTATTAATATCCTTTAAGCCCTTTGAGAATGGCTGGTGGCTGTTGAAATTAAAAAAGAAACTTCATAGCGACGAAAAAAATTTAGCGCTAAATAATAGGTGTTATAAATCCTTTGTCGCAAAATTTAATATTGTTAACTAAATTGTATACTTTCGTAAAAAATATTTAACAAGAATCGTTGTCGTTAAAAGTTACCAGTAAAAGTATAAGTTAATCACGATATCCGTGAAAAAGAACAAAGGAAATGTAAGCTTATTTAAAATTCTTTCTTTAATACTTTGACTGTTTTTTTTGCCAACGTATATTGCGAACCTGTTGAATAACTTTTGAGTTGCTCCTTGCAAACAGTTAAGCCGTTTCAAAGTAACATCAAAAACAAGTTTTTATTACTTTTGTTATTATACCTTCAAATGTTTATCTTAGGGCAGCACCTACTATAGCAACAACCATAATATTAATTACGACTACAATTAAATTATTAAATTTGCGAAGATAATTCTAAACATCCTAATAAAACGATTCCATTCCAATTGAAAGCAAATTAAGCTCTTATTAACGTTTGTGGGTACTAATGTTAATCATTAGGAATTTTTCAGGGCTCAAATTGTTGAATCAATCCGATCCTTGCGTCCAAGTAGTGCTGCAAGAGACTGGTGAGCACGTGCTGGTGACAGCAGGCGAAGTGCATCTGCAGAGGTGTTTGGAAGACTTGAAGTTAGTCGATATATAGTTTCATAATTATTTATTTAAAATTCTTTCAATCGGTGCAGCTTGTCGAGAATTTAAATTTTGTATAACAATTGAAATAACATAACAATTAATTGATAAGGCTTAAAATTACTTTCAGGAGTACGTATGCAAAAATACCTTTAAGTGTTTCCGAACCGCTAGTACCGTTCAGAGAAACCATAGTCGAACCACCGAAAGTCGACATGGCTAACGAAGAAATTGACTGCCAGAATGTAGACAAAGGCGGAAGTTCTCCCCAAGATCCGGCCATAACCGTATATACAAGCAATAAACAAAGTAAAATCAAAATAACGGCCAAACCTATGCCCAGAGAAATTACGGATCTTCTGGATAAATCCGCCGATTTGCTTAAAGTCATTTCGCAGCATATAAAGACGCTGCAAGGCGTGTCCAAAAACGATAATCTCGAAAGCAAATTAGAGAGATTGGAAGTCGACGGATCAAAGAATCAACTGTCGGAACGAGTTCTGCAGCTGTTAGAAAATTTCAAAGGCGAACTCCAAGTGATTTGCGCGAAACTGAGCCCCGAATGGGGTAACCTGATCGATCAGATTTGGTCCGTGGGCCCGAGGAACTGCGGTGCAAATTTGCTGCTCAACCAAACCACCGACTACCAGACGAAGTACCTCCTCCTCGATAAAGAGATAGCGGAAGACCCGAGGTTCGAATACGAGAGCAGTTTCGTGAATGGATTCCAAATGGCCACGTTAGCTGGGCCGCTCTGCGAAGAGCCAATGATGGGCGTCGCTTTTTGCGTCGAAGAATGGACACTGGATAAAGACAGCACTGAAGATACAAGTCACACCTTCGGCCCTCTTTCAGGTAAATATAAACTCTTCTCTACTAGGGTACATTTGACGCTTTGGATGTTACATTCATTTAAACTGAGTCAAATTATTTTTTACTCAAATACTGTAACGACATATTTTTGATCCACAAGTCTGTCCCCTGAGGACAAAACGTTGAAAAGGGTTCGAAACGTCGAAAACAAAATTTTAAAATTATAATAAATTACGATAAACCCGTAAATATATTTTAATTAAACAATGAGTAATCGCTTAAAAACAATAAATATTTCTTAGCGATATCTTGACTGTCTATCATAGATCTTAAATATTGAGTTACATATACAGCGTGTCTTTACCTTGTATCTTGTATTAACTGATGTTTGTGCTTTCAGTCCCGAGACTATTAAAGCTTCATCTGATGCAGAACCGGTGGGCTATGGCCAGAACCCACGGGTTTGGCCGCTGTGGATAGGGCCGCGCATGTGCTCATGCGTGCGTTTAACTAAGGCATGTCGTCTAAGGGCCATCGAGGTTGTGGTGCGGACCAAGATCCCGATGCCCGTCGACTGTGTTTTTAGCTAATCGGTGGCTGGGGGCGGTGAGAACCGCCCTGGAACGCGGGTGTACCTTGTGTACGCGTTGTGTTGGTCTCGCCATGCACGGAGGCGAGGGCGGACCAATGTGTTTGTTGCGACACTAACTGTGTCCTACTAAGTCCCCTTCCTCGACCGGGTCGACCTTTTTCTCCCAGTGGAGCGGTTGGCCATAAAGAGATATTTGCCCAGTGTTTTTACCACCGCGACAATAAATGAACACACATGTAGGGGATAACTTTTTAAAATTGTATTAAGCATTTACATTTTTTAAACATCATATTTACCGATTAAAATATGTAGAAAAAGTGCGAAAAGATTGTCGCCGCTGTGGGAATCGAACCCACGTCTTCGGCATTCGCGGCCTGGCGCTCTAGCCACTGAGCTAAACGGCTGATTACCACACCGACGAAAATCTTAACGCATTCTTCTACATTGTTTTCTTAGCATTTGAAGCAATGCTTGGCGCCATCTATTGTTATATCCTTTCCAGCATACATTCGAATATCGTTTTACAACGATAATTCGAACGAGAGATGTCGCCATTGCTTTTTTAGAAATTTAAATTGTTTATAGTGCTAATCTTTGCACTTAAGACTTTTTTCTACATATTTTAATGTTCAATCTTACGGTGCTAAACAGCCTCGGCCGTTGCACGAACGGGCAGGCCCGTCCGGGTAAGTACCACGACCTCACAGAAGACCAGCGTAAAGTGGAAGTATGACAAATACTTTCGAGTTTCGTCTGGTGAGTGAGGTAGCCGGAGCCCAATTTTCAAAAGGTTGTCAACGCATCTGTAACCCTCGGGTGTAGCAGATGTCTATGGGCGGCGGTATTCACTTACCATCAGGTGAACCGTCTGCTCGTTTGGCAACTTTTCGCATAAAAAAAAAAGACGTGGGTTCGATTCCCACAGCGGCGACAATCTTTTCGCACTTTTTCTACATATTTTAATGTTCAATCTTAAGTGCAAAGATTAGCACTATAAACAATTTAAATTTCTAAATCATATTTACCGAGTTATTAAATTTTACAAAAAAACAGTTTTTGAACACCCTTATGTATAAAGCTGTAACGTAAAGTTCATTCGTAAAAGTCACAAAGCATATGAATGGGTTGAATGAATTTAAAAGAGATAAAACAGACTGTTAGGAGAGACTTGAAATGCGACATTGTGGCAACGAATGAAAAAGTCTCTGAATGTATGAATCAGTCAGTTGTAGTTGTATAGGATGTTACAAATTTTGTTTCTTTTTAATTAAATTAGTTTGTTTGAAAAATGTTTTTTTTTAATTATGAATTTTTTAACGTTTTATATTTTTTTATGATTGGCAAGTAGCGTTAGACGTGAGTTCATTTATTGCCGCGGTTGTAACGACATGCTGTATATGCTTAATATAATTTTGATACTATTGTTCATCTTCCGTTCTTTTTCTACTTTAATCTTAAAATTAAAATATGTTTAAAAAATGAATTGAGAAAAATTTTAATTTTAATATGCTCCCATTAAAGGTTCCTATTGACGCCTCTTTCAACTTGCGAAGAGAAAATAATTTGACAATCTTAACTTTAGGTCAGATTATGTCGGCTGTGAAAGAAGCTTGCAGGAAAGCATTCCAAGTTCGGCCTCAGCGCCTGATGACTGCGATGTACTTCTGCGATATTGTTGTGGACCAGAAAGCGTTGGGTGAGTGCTTTTGACGGATATATTTTTGTAGGAAAAAAAAAGATTATAGTTTCAACCGTTTATTGTCAATCTACGATACAGTGAAATTAAAGGAAGAAAATGGCAGTGGCTTGACAGACGTGCATACGTTTTCAGATCTCAGTGTCTCTCCGTTATTCGGATTTTAATGTAATCTCTGTCACGTTCGTGCCCAGTGCATGACGACAGCTTGGTCGCCTGTCACGTTTAGGACTGTACATAATAGTATTTAGCATTAGAGACGTTGGGGGGGGGGGGGGTTCAGCTGAACCTCACCTAATCTCACGTGGGGATGAGGATTTGTCTCGATAAGTGGTGTTTCTTTCGCAACACGTAGTGCCAGAAATTAGGTGTATGTCTATTAGGTGTATTATGTGATCACATATTATAATTATTCCGGATCTGGTTGACTGTCTTTTTACGGCTCGACAACAAATAAAGTCGTTAGTAATTTTTTTACCGTTATTCACTTTAGGTATTTTAATTGAAACAAAACTCGTTTTCATAGGTTTAATTTTGTTATTACACTAATATTTACACAACATTTTTACTCATATGTTTTTGTTATAAATAATTTTACTACCTAATCCTTAAATAGTTATAAATGCATCGAGCTAAACAATCATATTATGAGTAAGACTTATCACATTTCGTGTACATATATATAGCATAAACAATGTTTTTCATTACGATATAGCGTTCAAAGCAAGTCTTGTTGGTGGGGGGCGGTTATGTTTAGCGTAACAATGGCTGATGATTAATAAAATCAACCAATTAAATGAATGCTGTATATCTGTTCGAAGGAAGATTCAGCATCACTATTACTATTACTACAAACATTTTTTATCACGTTACACTGGGTATACCTATAAATGGATTTACGTGCCTAATGAGTACACGAAACTATTCTATTAAATGCCACACAGCCCCGCGGTTGTTCCGCGAATTATATGCTCTGTACCAAACCAAAAGCCGGCTTCGATTGCGAATTATCGCAAATACCATCCGATTATAATATGATGAATGCATTTTAACACTACGTAAGTTTTCGTTGAATCCAAAAGGGCTTAGGTTAGATTGCTTAAGCGGGCCTATTTGGATCCAACATACTTTTTTATTTCAATTTAAATTACATTTCAATTGGACCACTGTAACGTTTGGGCCAGTTCCTTGGCTTTGTACCACGGGAATGGCGGGTTTGGGTATTTCGGCGCCGTCCGCCGCACGCGCGCCGATCTGGACCTCCGGTTGTAGTAGTTTTGGTCCTGGTAACTGTGCGACTGGTACCGGTTGTACACAGGCTTGTTCGAGTAGGAGTGAGCCTGCGAGTAGTCCACTTTGTACGAGCTGGTCGTGCTCTGCGCGCTCGTGTACCTGTTCCCTTTGTACCCTGCAAGTGACGCTTCAATTAACGAACTTATACAGGAAACATGAAAAAGCGCCATATTCTAGTTATGCCATGTTCTAGCCTAATTATGGAACCTAAAACGACGTTAAGTATTAAAATAACTGAATATCTCTACGGTTTTATTGTAATTGAAGTAGAATAAATTATCGGATTTTGGATGATTGAAATTGAAGATTTTAAGCGAAAACACGGAAGACAAATACAAGATGAGAAGTAAATGGACTATCATTTCAATCTCATTTTATATAATTTATACAAAACAAAATAAAATAGAGTTTAATTTAAATTTATTTAAACATCTCTAGTTAACTCTGGTTTTTTAACGCTGTCACTTCTCCGGTCGAACCTTTGATAGACAAACGAAAAGAGTAAATAAAATCTTCTCCGATATCTCTTTAATAAGCAAAGTTCAACTTCATCTAATTTTATTCCAGGAAAGGTTTTCCTATAGAAATATTTAGTAAGCTAATTTTAATGCTCAATCATATGAGATACGTTATACTGACCAGATTGAAGCGATGGCGTTGGTCTTACACACATCATCCCATATACTCTGATACCTGGGACAGAGGCATATGTGGGCTGGTCGTGCGTCATTGGGCCCTCTGAAAAATGGCGTTCAATGCTGTTTCAGATCAGGACGGTAATGTGGTAAGGAAATGATCTAATGATTTTTTGTCATCAAGAAATTAACGTGCCACATCATGAATTTTAGGTAGAAGATGATTCCATAAAGACACTGATAACTTTAACATAAATAGGCGGTAATCTTAATGTTTAAAAACATAACGTTAACGATTTTGTGTCACATACAACTCATTTCCATATCGTCTCTTGCAATGACATGTTTTAGATTTAACGTTTGTCGAGTATGAATTTTGGGTATTTGCCCGTTATACGTGACTTGCGGCGACGCGCCGTGTATGAATCAATACCGCCATAGCAGAATGTATTTGAATAATAACGTACAAAGGCATCCGATATTCAATGGAATTTCTCCAACGTAGAATTCGATTTGAAAATGCGGTTCATGTAAAAATTGTTGTATATTAAACGCGACAACAGACACGTGACACATGTCACATCATATTATGTCTATAAATTAACTAAAAAAGGAATCAAGATTTTTAATCCGATAGATATTTACACATCACATGACACAGAATCACAGTTCCTAAGCTTCGGCGCAGCGAGTTGTGGGTTCGAGTCTCACTCGGGACGAGTTTTTGTGTGACCGACAGATAATTATTGCGGATGTTTTTTCCCAATGAGGGTTGATAACAACATGATTCACATGCTGTGGCGACCCCACCTAGGCAGGATACAGGCAGGGAAAGGAACAAATAGAAGTTATTTAATCTCAAGACATATAATGGTTAATGACATACCTAAAATATGACTTTCTGGACAGCGACAAATGACCAGATAGTGCGACTTGCCCGTCCTTATGTTCTGAAGGGCGAGCAATGACCAGTCTCTCGGCGCTCGGCATTCTCTCATCTCGGACACCGCTTCGCAGGTCTTCACTAGGGTCACCGCTTTTTTGGCGTACTGAAAAGCGATTAGCGAGAAATGAGCGAGGGAATAAAAGAGCATCAATTCCCGTCGCTAACCCCTGTAGTGAAGTGCCTAAGGTATTTCCTTTTCTAGCTTTGGGGCGTATCTATGCAAACTTTCCACTAAAGGTAAATGTTCAATCTGCCGATGTTTTGTCCAATGAAAGAAAGAAAGAGAAACTATTTATTTGACATCACTCCTATCTTAATGCTTCACAACCCAAGAAGAGAAATCTTAATTATGGAGGTGCTAAAACTGTAATTTTTTTGTCTTTTTGTATGTCAGAAGTTGTCAAGCAAGCAGGCGGTTCACTTGATGTTAAGTGATTATCGCCGCCCATCAACAACACCTTAGGACTTACTGAAGCATTGACAACCTTCAAACACAGTGGGCCCCGGTTACTTCAGTCACCGTAACGTGAAGTACAATACTTCCTCTTCACGCTGTTCTTTGTGCAACAGCAGGTGTTTAACCTTCTTTATATGGTGGTGGTTTTATTTTATTATTCAGAACTGACGGCCACGTCTTTCATAGTCCTATGGTCTCGTGTGTTACCTGTGTTAGTCAAGTGTTTATATGGTAACAGATATTTACATATACCCGTACCAACTGTAGCGTTACAGGCTCTATATCCGATGAAGGTCATCTTATATCCCTATATGATAGGGATAACAAGCGTCTACATTGTCCAACAAAGAAAAACACATTCTTTTTCATAATAAACTTTATAAATTCTCGTATTTGCGCTACTACAACCGTACGGCATAACTACGACGGATTAATTTCTATTTCGGTCTGCCCCTGACCATGGTTCCTGTGAAGTGCTAGGGATGTCAGAATTTAAAACAGCTCTCGAATGTTCTACCGATAACCCGGTGACGCAACAGCGTAGTCGGGTCACCTCGTGGCGGCGAAACATCAAATCGATACCTTCTTCTTGGAATCCGTAGTGAGACGCGTGGTGTGCAAGTCGTCGGCGTTCAGGCTTGCGGAGCACGGGTCCCTGTAGCGGGCAGGGCACGCGCACAGCGGCTGCGTGTAGTTCAGCCGTACGTAGACCGCGTTGCACACCTGCCGATTTGTCCAACCGTCGGTTAAGAGCGGTTCTTGAGCTCGCATTACAGTCTAATCAGATAACAGCTATCGAGCCGCGGTCCGGCCCTCTCGGACACCCTTGTGTCCGAATGGATAATGTTGTAGATCTTAACGAACGCAGTTAAAAGACCCAAGGTCTTTTAACTGCGATCGGTTAGGGTAATATTTCGATATTGCTCAGCTAATACTAAAACCAAGAGATGTTAGTGCTGACTGGTAATTTGTCTAATGAATTCTTATATGGGAAGGTGATAGATATATAGTGATAGTAATGGCGGTTGAATGAGAAACAAAGTTTTGGTCTATAATTGGAAATTCGAGCCAGATGCTCGCTTTCAAACCGACTTTCGTGCGTTGTGGAGATTTGTTGGCATTTATTTTTAAGCATTTTTATAATCTATTATTTGATCTTAATAATTCTATTTAAATGTAAAAATACTTCGGCGCTAATGGCGCATAAATTGTCACCTTCAGTCTTATACCGCACAAAAATACTTTCAATAAACATCACTTAATATATTAGGTTCTACAAGTTATCTCCTTTATTCCCAACAGTAAAAACCTGGAGTAATATAATCTCGAATCCGTTATTACGTCGGCTATGAGGAGAAATTGTACACGAATCGACAATAAGCCGTGATTAATTTCGGCTATCACGTTAAATTCAATATTAACGCGGCCATTTTGATAATTTTGGCGTCCGTAAATTATCCGCGGAACGAAAAACGCAAACATATTAAAATTTAATGCAAAGGAAAATCAATAAATAACCAGTTTGCTTTTGTGATTACACTCGTCGAAGAAGAAATATAAGGGAAAATGAAGCGTGGTCAAATATTCCGCATATTATTAATTCCGTCGGTGTATTATTACCGTGATCTCATATTTTGAAACCTCCAAGGCAATGGGCAATATTACGGGAATCAGTTTTACTTTATGTCCTATAAAAATAAATTTAGATATTAAAAAATATTATGTATATTTTCATACTATGCGCTTTAAAAGCAAATTTTTCGTTTAATTCTACTTGAATTGACTGTAGTAATGTAGAATATAAAGGCTTAAACAGATAATATACAGTACCCGGAGGACCGAGCTTTGCTCGGTTTGTTTTTTGTTTGTTTAAATCGTGTATTTTGGAAATTACATTTAGATACAAATTACTGAGTAATGAAATATGCATAATATTTTTCGATCTTACCGACGTAATAATAAGAAAATATGAACTGATGTTTTTCACAAAAGAAAGAACTTTAAAAAAAAGGGAAAAAAATAACAAAATAACAAATCGACAAAAAATTAAAAATAAAGAAAGCAATGATCTGGAATCGAAAAAAAAAGTAAAAAAAATAAATGTGTAAATGATCGTGACGCGAACCACGGTCTGTTTTGGGGCCGCCCGATTACCGACCGAGCTATTATGACATTTTCTCTTGCGGCGAAATTTACCGTCATATTCGAATTATATTTTTCATTCCCTGAAAACAGGGATAAAAGGACATTTTCTAAAAATGAAACCTAGCTAGATCGATTTTTCGCCCCCGAATCTACGCACATACTAAATTTCATGAAAATCGCTGGAGCCGTTTCCGAGATTCCGATTATATATATATACAAGAATTGGTCGTTTAAAGGATAAGATTTTTACTAACAAAAAACAAAACCGACTTCCAATGTTACCCACTGTGTACATTTTTTTGATTTTGAGGAGTCCTCTGTTGTCTTTCTTGTCGTAGGACAATCGTAGGACTTTCCGGAGTCCAAAAATTAATTAAATAATTCTTAAAATAGGTCCACAAATAACTGACATCTGAGGTGACTAATAAAAGAATACAACCTAATTGAGAACGTGCTCCTTTTACGAAATCGATTAAAAATTGTTAAAGAAACCAGTCACCTGTTGAATTGCACACTCCGGCAGCAAATATATGTGCTGATTGTGTGGATAGTAGTGGTACTTCGTGGGCTTCGCCAGAACTGACGTAGAGCCCGCCGGTAGCGGCACCGTCTGGAAAGAAAAAATGAATGAATATTTAACTTAGTCCCAACAAATAGCACATATATGATAACAATTACAAGAATATATAACTGAGGCATGAAACTGGATAGGTATGTACTCAAAAAAAAAATAATAACGTTGCCATAGATTAGCTTCCACCATATAAACACGGATACCGCGTGCCGAGTCGATCTTGCAAAAATTTGTGACGCCAACGAAAGCGTTAATGCGCCAGAGACGTCATTAACGATGCGCACAATGCTGGGAAAATTCTCGAGGTCGGCGCTAAACAAAGCCTCGTTCATCAGACATGTGAGAACTCTGTCATCGCTCGGGTGTGGCGCGGAGATGAACCTCCTTTTCCCGGACTAGATGCTGCCCACTCGAACAAAACACGCCACCTTCGATCCAGTCGATCAGCTGTCAGTGTTTATTAAGATTCCGTTATGTAAATTAAAGTGACAGGCTTATGTCGTATACTAGGTAAAGTTTTTATTTTTATGGCAAATTAGGGCAAGGTCCACCAAGCAACTTCACCGCGGACTTAACGTCGATCTTCGGAAATATTTTTTATTGTTATTTCGAAAATATGCAAGTTTCACGATATTTTCCTTTATCGTCGAGCACGAATTCAGCGCTTAGAACTGTTAGTGCAAATAAATACAAAATGTCAAATTGACGTGATTTTATCATCAGATGAACCGCCTGCTCGCTTCGCAGCTTTTTGCTTGAGGAAGAAAAATATAAAAGACAGGTTTTTCTTTGTTTAAAATTGCGTTACTGATAAATTTTGACGGATGAGCAACAACAAGTATTTTGTGATTAGCAAACGCGGCACATTCATTATCTGCGTGATTGTTACGAAACGAACATTTCCAATTCGGACAGTGTATAAATTTTAGTAACATTTTGCTCTGAAATTGATACGCTAAATGTGATCGAACGTAGAACTCGCAATCACCTGCTGTATCACAAATCATGCATTTATTAATAAATATTGTATAACTTGTCATGCATACTATATGTTCATGATTCATGAAAATACTATTTTATTAACACTCAACATAAAATGTTAATATTTTAAATGAATACAATTATTATTAAATTAGTATCAGGAATGTTGAGCGTTAATTTAGATAAGCCTTCCGTTATAAGCCGTGATAGCTCAGTGTCCGCGCTCGCCTTAATTCAATGTATACTCGAGCAACCTGAGTTCGATCCCCGGTGTCGGCACCAATGAAGTTTTTAACTTTAAGTGCTGAATTATCACGTGCTCCGCGGTGAAGGAAAACATCGTGAGGAAACTTGCATATTTTCGGAATAATAACAAAAAAAAATGTATTTCGAAAATATGTGAAGTCCGCCAATCCGCAGTGGGGCCGCGTGGTGGACTATGCCCTGATACCCTCTGTTTAGAGGAGGCCTTTGCCCAGCAGTGGGACATGTATAGGCTGTTACTTTTACTTTACTTTTTCCGTTATAAAACATTCGGAATGTCAAATCTAAAAGAATAATTGAAATTGATGAATTTTTAAATAAATTTACAAAATAGGCTATATAATCTCTTTGTTTTTTTTATATAATTGTAATCTAAAATACTGCTTGTATTTTAGATTTTACACAAGACCAAGTTACGAGGAATCGATACGCTAAATCAACATGGTAGTTGAAAAATTCGTTAATGTTAATAATGGCCATCGCCCGCTGTGTGATTTAATTTTGATAAAAAAATCCCCCCCGCCCCCGTCTCCGCGCAATCTGCTCCAGTGACCCGTTTACTTATGTCAAATGTTATTTCACAACAAAGACTTTTTTGTAACTGCCGCCGCTATTCGTAATCGACAGCGTTTTTTGCCATCACCGCTTCGAGCCATCGGTTAATTCTGTTAAGCTTTGCAGCAATGAAAGAACCGGCCTCATGGACGCAAATACGCCTAACGAAGCATTGTGCGCCTGTCTTCAACAGTTCCAATATGTCTCCTTTTTGTGATCGAAACTAAACTATCTAAACTATGTTACTTTCGAACAGGGAAAAGTCGTACGTAAGACCTTAAACGTATTGAAAGGCGCGATTTAAAACGAGAATTGTATACGCATGTACTTTTTTCTATTGCGTTATTACGTTCCGAAATTAACTTCCATCTGGTGGAGTATTTTTTTCGTGCCGAAGAAATGAGCCTTTATTGCCGCTTTGAAGCGGTCTTTATTGTCGGAAAATCATTACCTAGGAACGGATTTTATTAAAAACGACGACGGAAAATATTGGGGACTATGGACAGGGCGATCACCGTTGCCCTGATGAGCAAGATCAGTTGGATAACCGTAGCTTTGACCTTTCAGCAAAGACTAGCTCCTCATGAAGGATTTGTAAGTCGCATCGATACCGAGACACCGCAACCGACAACTGAGTGCATAAAGAAGCGCGTGCGAAAGAACCGCATGAAAAGCGGGCTGGGATGAGACCGCCCTAGGGCTCCAAATGCGTAACCAGCGTTTTATAGAAACGAGTATTTCGTCATTCGATAGATGAACCGCAAAAACTTGATGCTTTTACTTCGCTGGTGTTTTTTGAGGCCGTTTTATTACTCTAGACGGGCCTAACCATTCTGTAAATTATTTTTGTTTTCCAGCTATGACTGCCATTAAATAACAAAAAGGTTCTTAGTATAATTGTAAATTATTAAAATAAAATGATATGTTATTCTAATAAAATAATAAATTAACTAAAATGATATTAAGTAAAAAAAGTAAAAATGACATTATAATCACGAGTGTAAATTAAACCGGAACCAGTAATTACACAAGTAATTAGCTCATCGTTAGAGGCATATATAATAGGTGAATATAAAATAACGAGTTCACTTCGTAATATCACTACCTACTAATCTTTATTTCGTTATCGTTCATACAAATCGATAGCTTACTGAACAGTTACAGGGTCAATGGCACGATGAACAGATGATCTCACGATATGTTTACCTTAATGGTTAATCTCGGGCTTGCGATCTTGACACGATCTGAACTTTCATGCAACCTGCATTCTGGAGATTACGGTAACAATGGAACATTGAACTGTGTTATAACGAACTTCTTTATCTGTTTTCATAATGATAGGTCTATGGTTAATTGGATGCACAAACAAGGTTACGTTCTATGCATGAATAAAAAATAAGTTATACTTGGACTAGGTATGCTAAAGAGAACTAACTCGCATGATAGAATCAGACGTATTTTGTTGTTTGTCCACTTTGTAAAGAGATTACAAAATACTTGCACTAAAATTAATCTTTAGATACGTTATAAGCTATTATTGGTTTTTTGATAAAATATTACTATGTGCTATTATGTACCGTGTATTAACTGAAGAACATTTTATTTAGTAATATTTGCTTACGCGTAGGATGTGCAAACTGATGTGTAACGAACCGGTTATGGTATACATTGTTTATCTTGGCCACATTTTGGGTTTCAGATATTTAAAAGTATAGTAACAGCCCGCTGGGCAAAGGCCTCCTCTGTACTATTACTATAGGTCAGACCATATTCCACCACGCGGCCACACTGCGGATTGGTGGACTTCACATATCTTCGAAATATTTTTTTGTTATTATTTCGAAAATATGTCAATAAGTCAGCAACTTGAAATAAAAATTTTATTGGTGCCGGCTCCGGGGATCGAACTCAGGTTACTCAAGTATATTGCATTAAAGACGAGCGCCCGGACATTGAGCTATCATGGCTCGACTTCCGATATTTAATTTAAAAAAAATCAGATCGCATACTATCAAAGTCGTCTTTGAAACGTATCTATGTAGATTGCCCTTTTGTGTAAATTTTCTGATTAATCAATGATATCCACCATTTTTGCCTACTTTTTTATGTCTACTTCAAAAAAACATAATTTCTCATCGTTGAAGTCGACTTTTGTTGAAACCATATCTTTTTTTTGTGAGGTATTTGGCAAGGGATCTGGCGTTTCACCTGATATTAAGTGACAACCGCTGCTTATGGTCATTTGCAACACTCGGAAGATTGCAGATGCTTTGTGTCACCTTTGAACAAAGTGGGCCCAGGCTACCTCATCCAGATGAAACGCAGAAGTGTAACACTTTCACTTCATGCCGGTCTTCTGTGAAGTCGTGGTACTTCCCCGGACGGACCTGCCCATTCGTGCAACAGCGAAGACTCTTGCACGGCCCTACCACAGTTAAATCTCTATGTAGATTGTTCTATTTCTGTATTTTGGGCGTAGCAAAAATTGGAAGTCTACGAGAGCTGACAAAGTTGGTCGTGTCATTATGAATGCCTAAAGAAGTCTGCGCGGTCTTAAAGATCGCACGCGCACCGAGCCGACCCATTCCCATGAAAGCCGAAGTCGGCGGCGTTCCGTGGAGCGCTTACGCTCACAAACTCAGCGGCGCTTCAGTAGTTAAAATGGCCAACGCTATTGAACCAAGCCGCGCTCGGTCAACTGTTTAAAACGGTGAAAGCCTTAGCGGCGTTTATCTCGACTATTACCTTCCCGATTGTGCCGTTAAGAGCTGCTATGGCTGCTCAGTCTAAATTGTTTTATTTTTTACGGTAGCAAACGAACAGGCAGTCCACTACAGAGATATCTCCACCCTTCCGATGTCTACAGTATTCGTGGGCTTGCAGATGAATAGCGCACATTTAGAGATCTGCAAAATATTTCTGCAAAAGTATTTCTACTTTACGGCAGTCTTCTGCGGGGCCGTGATGGATGTCTCATTGTACCTAAACCATTAAAACAACTTTGAAACTATCTTATGTTTGTATTTATTTACAATTCGAAAAGATTAATTGCTTATTTTTCAAATCCGAAATTTAGGTATACGGGATTACACAGAATACGCTCGTGTTAGCAGCGTCCATTAAAAAGTATTTAAATTTACTACAGCAGCGAGAACTAAATTCAAATGCCGGCATCAATGAAATTGCTCATTACAATTTTAAATGTTCATTTGCATTCGGCGTTGATACTGTTACATTTTCGGAGCGACTAAAATATTAATTAAAACGTGCATTTCCGAAAATGCGCAATTAAAGAACGCAACGAAGTCGAGCGTCGGTCTATTCGAATTGAAACCGCGCGTTTCGCGATTCCATCCGTTTGAAACTCACTCAGAGTTTATTTCGCAACGGAATATTACGGTGCTGCGTCACTTTAGTGCGAAGTATGCTGCAATGGGTGCGTGGGCTAATTGCATTAGCAACGTGTTAAGAGCGGTGCAGTGCATCGGGCCATTTAGTCGCGATGAAAACTACGAAATTCATACAACTGCGG